CTTCAATTGATATGCTTAATATGTTAGATTAGCTTATTGGGTGTTTGAGCTGAATGTTAGATGTTACACCCTTAGCCTACTAAGAGTAATCTCATTCGAGAACGAATGTTCCCAAGGGAGAGATATTGCAACACCTTGCTATTTGAAAGAACTAGAATTCGGAAGAAACCATTTTTTGGAAATAATCAAATTTGGAAAGTTTGACAAAATTAAGCTAAGGATGAATTTTGGGTCAACTTCAAATGACCATAAATTCTAGATCAGCATGAGTTAGGTGTGCTACCAGATACCGTATGAAATATCTTTGAATTATCTTTCCAACGCAGTCGAATTTTCTCGATTTCGAGTTTGTATGAGAGAGATATGTCCATTCAAAGTTGGGTTGTCTAGATAAGGAAAGTCAAAAATAGATTTTAGAAGGGTATTATGGTCTTTTCACTACCCAATTAATCAAATTCGTTTTTGGTGATTAAGTTGGGGTCTAAACTGATTGGATTCAGTTACGCTTTACACATTCTTGAAGTTAAGCTTGTGGATTTCGCCAAGGGTTGATCCCTACGAGGTATGTGAGATCACATAGTGTTGGGTTAGTTCACCCACAAGCCAATCATTATTCAATTCAGTGTAATTGTGTTCTTGAAAGAAAAGATTATGTGTTCTTGATGAATTTTGTTTAAGTTTCGTTTGAATCTTGATTGTGAGTTTTTGAGGAGTTATTAGGGGTAATTTGGTGAGATATAAGGTTGTTTTTTAGTTGATTCTTGCATATTTTAGTTTGTATTCGAATCTAATCGTTTCGGGAAGGAACCATTCGAATATAGGAATTTTAGAGTTGAAAAACGAGCAAGAAAATTCATCAAAAATCTAGGGAAGGGGTTGGGGCGCTGCACCACTCTGAGCACCCCAAATGAACTTCTATAGTTTAGGATCTGGGGCACCGCGCCAGCCTAGTGCGCCCCAACCCAACTTCTGAAGTTTGCCCTCTGGCTCCCCGTGCCAGGGATGCTAGGTCTTCTACCCTTTCCCACTTCTTTCCGTACGAGTTCCCTTGAAACGTACCTATGTTTTCTAGTTGATTTCTACACTCTAAGGTACGTCTAAACAACATAAAATCATCCATAACATGATATCATGAACCTTGAATCCATAATTCAATTCAAGAAAAGTTAAGAGTCAAGTCAAGAGAAGTTCATAGAGTTTTCCAAAAGTCTTTTACAAACGTTTTAAATTTGTTTTAAGACATGATTTTTGAGTTGAGTAAAGAGTAAGGATTGACGTTCATTTCTTCAAAAGAGTATAACGGGACTATGCATTCCTAAAGAGTACATGCTTTCACATTTAAACAAGAAAGGAAACACTGAATTCCAAGAGAGCCTTTGAGCTAGCTTTTTGAGTAATTTCTCAAACCACGGAAAGAGTTTTTGTTTTGAAACATATGAGCTGAGTATTTTAGGAGTAGTATTGAGCACGATATGGGGACGAGTCCAGATATCTCAAGTCTCCATAAACCCTGTGGTCAATGTGGGTAGAAAGGGTCATACCTTTTAGATGATTCCTTAGTGCTTTTTAGCATATACTAGTGGATCCACTTAGTTGAAGCGTTCTATATTCTGGCAAGTTATAGGACAGTTCTGGCAGCGTGGTCAAGACGATGTATCATCACATTAGCTCATAATGATGGTCGTCGGTTTGAGAGACTCCCGGGGAATTATATTACTTTATATATATATATATATATATATATATATATATATAAAAATTGAGTTGTTATTGTATTTCTTTAACACATTGAGTTGCTACCTATTGTTTTAAATGCCTTACATAAACTGCATCTTTTTTGTTGTTAATTTCTGCATTGAGTTGAGTATTTATGATTTGAGTAAAGCTGAGGGAAGTGTCTATTTCAGTATTCATTCAAGCTTATATCGTGTTTAGTTTTCACCTCGCATGCTCATACATTCAAAGTATTGATATCATTTGACCTGCATCATTTTATGATGCAGATATAGATAACTAGGATCAGCATTCACCACCTTGTTGATCCAATCGAGCACTCAAAGTCAATTGGTAAGCCTCCATGCTTTCTGGAGGATCACTTTGGTTATGTTTTGTTTTATTGCTTTTGGTTATTTCAGTTGTTAGGATGATCAAGGGTCTTGTCCCGACATCCCTCTTAGTATCTAGAGGCTTCATAGACAGTTAAATATGAGTTCTTTAGTCTTGATATTTCAGTTGTTTGATTTGAAGACTTTAATTTCCATTTTGGCTAAGTTGAATGTTATTTTCTAAACATTCTCAGTTTATCTATTCAGACAGTTTATTTAAGATTGTGTTTAAGTACATTTTCTGTTGAGTAAGTCTTTCGCTAAGAGTCTAGCCAGGCCAAGGGTTCGCTTGGGGCCAGCAATGGTTCTCGAGTGCCAGTCCCGCCCAGGGTGTAGGCTCAGGGCGTGACATTAGTAATAAAAAAAGTGTTATGACAATTTGAACAATGATTTCCTATGGTGCTATATAATTATCATATGAAATTACTTAGTTATTGGATGATGAACTAGTGGTATAATAATATTTATAAAAAATAGTTGATAAATTTGATGATAGTTGTTGTATTATACCATAATTTTGTATTTAGACATGTTATAGATCTATATATTAGTGTTACATGTTGTATTAGGTCAGAATTTAATTTAATTAATAACAAAAACCATATGTGAGGTTATCGATATGTTGCAACACATGACAAATATGTGACAATTTCAACATAAAATCGATCAGAATGTACATATGTTGCCACAGATGCCAATTTGATGGATGTGTGAATCGATAAAATAAACAATTTTAGCTATTAAAAAGTTATATTGGACCATATTTTATTAAATTAAACCTTAATAAAAAAAATTATATAACACATTGTACAACTATTTCCTATGGTGATATATAACTATCATATGGAACTACTTAGTCATTGGATGATGAACTAGTGGTATAACAATATTTGTAAAAAATAATTGATGAAGGTTGTTGTATTAAACTATAATTTTGTATTTAGACATGTGATAGGTTTATATATTAGTGTTACGTGTTGTATTGAGTCACAAGTTAATTGAATTAATAACAAAAATCATATGTGAGGTTATCAATATGTACATATGACAAAATCTGTGGCAATTTCAACACAAAATTGACCAGATTATCCAACAGAATATACATATGTTACCACAAATGCCACATGTGCTATCACAAATGCCAACAAAATATACATATGCTGCCACAGATATCAAAAAACTATATAATAGGGAATAATAACATAACTAATTTAATAGGAAAAAATAAGAAAATATAGGGATATAGATATACATAGATTAAATTAATATGTCATGCAGTTCTACAAAATAAGAGACATAACTGATGGAATAGGTTCATTGTCCAACAACACGAGTATGAGGCAAAAATTTAACTACATAATCTAATTTTAAATGACAACTACATTATTCACAACAAATATCATCTTCATCGTCACTTTCCTTGGGCCAGCCTTTCTTGCGAAGGTTTTGCTAATGTTGATGAACAATGCAACAAATGGGTATTTCTCCCAACACATAAGGTTCTAGCACCCACATTCTACCTAAAACTTGTCGTAACTTATGTCGACATGTCCTGGTTTTAGCGGCTCCATTTGTTTTATGTTGGCAATGAACATTAAGCTTTCTCTCATGGATTCACAGCCCTTGAAGATTGAATTTATGGCAAGCGCATAGGATGCACCAATGTGGCCTTTGTCGGCTGCTTGATTAATAATTCTCAATGCATTTGAATCATTATTGTTGAAAAACTCAAACTACAGAAGAAATAAACACATTTAAAAGGTTGAATACATTGATAAAAACGTGAATACATATGAAAAACTTTAAAAATTACCGCGCCTTTTAAGGCTTCTAAATTCCCCGATGCTCTACAAATATCCAGGAAAGAAATAATTTTTTGAACTACTAACTGACGGTTCACCGGCTATCTAAAATTAGGAAAGTCGACCAATGTTACCTTTTGATATACAAAAGGTTCATTACCGACTTGATTAAGGACCCTGAAACTAAGAAATCAAATCAAACTGTTAGGAAATAAAATTTTAAGAGAGACGAAAATTGATTTATATACATGCATACCTTAATTTAACATTCATTAAACCTTTGAAGGAGCCGGAAGCAATCCTTTCAACGATATCAATAAGTAGACATCTTAGAAGGGATTCAATATAGTTTGAAATTTTTCATTTTTTAATCCTCCTAGTCATTTTGAAAATTTCCTCTTTCTTCCCATCAAAAGTCATATATTTTCTCTTATAAGGAATGTGAAAAGTTGCAACTTCTGAAGAAGAGTTGCAACTTCTAAAGAAGAAGTTGCAACTTTGGACCTTTCAGAAGCAAGAGACTTTATTTTTTGAAAATGTGGTAGAATTGTTGTAATTATGTCCCCTTATTGATAGCTTTTAATTGAAAGTTGTTTCAATGACAGTATGTGATTGATTGTTCACTTAACACGCAATTATTAATTAGTGAAAATATCAACAGAAAGTACATATGTTGCAACATATGCCTACTTTGTTGGAACATATGTGTTATTATGTTGTAGTTGTAACACATAATTGACATATGTTGGAACATATGCAATATTCTATTGCAAGATCTATGTTAGAAAAGATGCACAATTATGTTGTAGGAACTAACACACAACTAACATTTGTTGGAACAAATGCAATATTATGTTGTAAGTAGTACCACATAATTGACATATGTTCTAACGAATGCACAATTATGTTTTAAAGATGCATCAGTTCAAAATAAATCACACATTTTATATAAATAACATAAGTTGATTCAAATTAACATCATCCTCAAATAAAAAAGAACATACATTACAATTCAACAATACTTATGAATCATTTCGATTTGGGCATGTAATTTTTTTGGTCAAAGTCCTTACATATGGAACACTTGTTTTTTCTATCTCTTATATCTCCTTCTTCCAAGTTTGCTTATATCAACATATGGAGGAGATATTTCTCTCTCTAAGATATCCAAAGGGACATTCAAAGAATCTTCTGGTGGCACCGGGTGAATTTCCTCACAATATGCAATTATGTAATTTTCCACTAAATAATATGTAGATGAGTACTCATAAATCTGATTTCCAAAATCCACATCATATTGAGATCGAAGCTCTGACATGCCATGTGGACAAGAAATTTTGTCCAAGTCAAAAAATTTACAAGTGCAAGTTCTTCTTGGTAGATCCACCATAGCAACATCACTGTGACTAGTGACACTGAACTTGTAGTTTGTAATTTGATGAGCCAACAACGTGTTGCCTGAGTTGACATACGTTGATATGTCTTTTTCAATTGAGGGAACAAATCTATTTGAGGAGTTCACCAGCTCCATACGCCTCTGGTGAAATAAAAGTGCAAATAGCCTTTTTATTTCATCAAATAGAGCGATAATGAGAAATTCTCTCTGAGCATCAAACATAGCATTCACCGACTCCGCGATGTTTGACGTCATAATGTTATATTTAAACAACAAAAAAAAATCAACCATAAAATTATAATAAACTCAAACAAGATAGTATAGACAATAATGTACCTACTTCCCAGGCAAAATGCGCTGCTCCATCTGTGGAATCCAATACGTTCAAGAGTTTCAGTTGTCTTTGATACCAAATCTCTTATTTGATTGAAATGTTCATTGAACTCACATCTATCATACGCCTTTGCTACTTTATAAAAATGAGATACTACTTTTGAATTGTGAAAGTTATTTCGAATATTTTCCACAAGGTGTCTCATGCAACAACCATAATGAGATGCGGGGTAGATCGTCGAAACCATATTTTGAATACTGGGATGCCTATCATAAATAATGCACAACTCATCAGTATCATCTACATAGCTTCTCATATGTTCAAAAAAATATTTATATGAGGCATCACATTCCTTGTCCACAACACAAAAAGCCGCTGAAAATATATGATTCTTAACATCTTTTGCCACCGATAGCAAAACTCCTTCATACTTTCTCCTCAGGAATGTCCCATCAACGAATATTACTTTTCTCATTTGTTGAAAACCAATCATCCAAGCGACATATGATACAAAGAAGTACTTGAACCTCCATTTTCATCAAGCGACAATGCCATCTTGCTTCCTAGATTTGCAATTTCAAGCATAACGATAAGCATTAAGCGCTGCATACTTGTGGTCATGTGTTCCCTTAACAGAAGACTTAGCATGTTCCATGCCCTTATAAATCTTCAAATAACTTACCTTACAACCCAATTCTATGCGGAGTTGATTTGACATGTCTCTTGTGGATGGGCCTTTACCATTGGGAAATCTATTTTCAAAGTATTTACCTATGATTGTTTCTAGGGCATGCGGATTATGGCTGATGAGTCGGGGATTTCGACTCATTTAGGACTTAATATTTAAGGAATTAGTGTCCTCAATGTCTATTTTATGCTCATAACTGATGTTAAAATGTTAATATGCAGCATTGGAGGCAAAAGAGTAAGGCAAGGACATTACAAGGCAAATAGGAGCAAAAAAAAGCTGAAAAAGTTGAAGGAAAGCAAAGTTGGTACTTTCCAAAGCCACTCGGCGAGTTATATGATTACTTCCCAAAAACTTCTTGCTCTGATACCAAATTAATACTAGTATATACCAAATATATATACTAGTAAAGAAAGCCCGGGCGCTGCTCGGGCCCAACATTAATAAAGTTATATTGTTACTCTCTCCGTCCCATATTAGATGAGAATCTTACTAAAAATATTTTTTTCATATTATTTGAGCACTTATTAAATTAGGATAGAATTAATTAATTCTTTTCCATTTTACCCCTACAACTAATATGATCATGCCTATATTGTATGTGTATTTTTTGTAACTCATTTCAATGTGCATTGATATAAACAAATGGCAAAATGGTGAAGTCTTCCAATGTATTAATGATTTCTTAATCACCGTGTAAAGTTAGAAGTGCTCATCTAATATGGGACGTAGGGAGTATAGTTTATGTATTGTTATAAAATTAGTAAAGATTGTTATAATATATTTTGCTCATAAGTGAGTTAATATAGAAACTTATTTGTCATTTGTCTTTTTAATTTCAATTTTAAATAGCAAATAAATGTAGCAATAAGATTGAGGGTAGAAATGAAGCATATCTTTCTAAATTCAAGTAAAAATAAACAGAGTAGAAGTAACATTAGGGTTATCGATAGGACGATTCAGTTGGTTATTTTTTAAAAAATGATATCATTCAATTTTTCGGCTATTTTATAATGTATAACCAAAATTAAAATTTTAAAATCATCCCAATCCTAATTTATGTGACACAAGCAGTACAAAAATTAGTCTTTTTTTTGTTGTCTTGTAGATATTTTAAGTTATTATTTATTGTAAATTATAGTACTTTTTATTAAAAATTTTAATAACATATGTTACTTTTTATGTTTGAGAGTTAAACCAACTTTTTTTTATGTCTTTTAATTTTATATGTGTTTTGTCCTTTTCCATTTTCAAAAACTAATACTCTCTCCATTTTATTTTATATGTCATTTCTTTTTATAAATATATTGGTTATTCCCTCTTCTTATTGGAACACATGTTGATTTGTGGTGCTTGGTTATTCCCTCTTCTTATATAGTAGCTCATAAGTGAGCTAATATAGAAACTTTTGTCATTTGTCTTTTTAATTTCAATTTTAAATAGCAAATAAATGTAGCGATAAGATTGAGGGTAGAAATGAAGCATATCTTTCTAAATTTAAGTAAAAATAAACAGAGTAGAAGTAACATTAGGGTTATCGATAGGACGATTCATTCGGTTATTTTAAAAAAAATTATATCATTCAATTTTTCGGCTATTTTATAATGTATAACCAAAATTAAAATTTTAAAATCATCCCACTCCTAATTTATGTGACACATGCAGTACAAAAATTAGTCTTTTTTTTGTTGTCTTGTAGATATTTTAAGTTATTATTTATTGTAAATTATAGTACTTTTTATTAAAGTTTTTAATAACATATGTTACCTTTTATGTTTGAGAGTTAAACCAACTTTTTTTTATATGTCTTTTAATTTTATATGTGTTTTGTCCTTTTCCATTTTCAAAAACTAATACTCTCTCCATTTTATTTTATATGTCATTTCTTTTTATAAATATATTGGTTATTCCCTCTTCTTATTGGAACACATGTTGACTTGTGGTGGTTGGTTATTCCCTCTTCTTATATAGTAATAATATATCATTATAACAACTCCATACAACTTAGCATGGGACACACGGTACCCAAGACTAGTTATATAAAAGCATACACATTATTTAAAAATCATCAAAAGTGACAAAATTATTTCCAAATAACTTGAAAAACATTGTGAATTTTATAAAACCAATTATTTCAAATATTATGAAATCAAAGGCCCAATTTCATTACATAGCGGTGCTAAATTAATTTAAGTTAATTAATTTATGTCATTATTTCATTTCATTAAGATTCATGAGTCGATTTTTGAATATTCATAAAATGTATTAATTAAATACATAATGATATAAAAGCATACATATTATTTAAAAATCATAAAAATGACAAAATTATTTTAAATTAACTTGAAAAACATTATGAATTTCATAAAACCAATTATTTCAAATATTATGAAATAAAGGTCCAAATTCATTACATAGCAGTGCTTAATTAATTCAAATGAAATTATAACCCAAATTTATCAGTGTTTGGTATATTCAGTAGACAAGAAAGAGAGCTTGTGATTTACAAGATCATATCCAATAAGGAAATTCATTTGTGCCAAGTTTTCATAAATACCACTAAATATTTGGTTGATTATTTTATAGTTTATATTTTTGAGTTAATAGTTTATGATTGAATTTGTTAAGATTAAGAAGTTCATTAATTAATTCGTGTTATTTGAGTTTAGTCAATAACATTAAATTTTAGGCTAAATTCTTAATACACTTGGGTAGTTCTTTTTTTACAAATATATAGTCATCTTGTAATCTTAATTTGAAATGTTTATAAGACCCATGTTGGGGCTTGACCGAACAATTAAGAGGAATTGACACAGATAGACAAGTGTTACATACAATTGACAACATATAGCCCAATATTAATTAGCAATTAATAAACAAATAAAAAATTGGCACATGTTAGCCTAAAAGTAATATATACATTTTCTAAATTATTTTTAAAATAGTAAAAGATATTTAATATCATCTCTCTTCTAACTTCCAACCATTACTCCTTAAAACTAGCAAAAGATTATTTAGAATTGTCTCTCCTTTCAAATTATTACGTATTTTTTAAAAATAATAAAAGAAAATTAATTACATCTTTCTTCTAACTTCCAACCATTTCTCCTTAAAACTAGCAAAAGATTATTACTCTCTCCTTTCAAATTATTTCGTATTTTAAAAAATAATAAAAGAAAATTAATACCATCTCTATTCTATCTTCCAATCATTTCCACTTAAAACTAGCAAAATACTGTTTAGACTTATATCTTTTCTTAAAATTAGCAAATAATATTTTGATTATGATTATTCTTATTTCAAAGGTATTCCTATGAGTTCATTACTGGCAATAATTTTGCCTTTGAACTCAATCCATATTGGATACATTTGTTTGTATTCATAATAAATTGGTATACATTTATATTTATTTGCATTAATATCTTCCAAATTTTACATATATATACATTTGTATTGGATACATTCATCCATATTCATTTATAAACTGGTATACATTTGTTCGTATTCATAAAAAATTTGTATACATTTATTTGCATTAATATCTTTCAAATTTACATAAGTATACATTTGTATTGGATACATTCGTCTATATTCATTTATAAATTGGTATACATTTGTTTGCATTAGTATCTTTCCAATTTTGCTTAGGTATACAGTTGCTTGCATTACTATTTTGGAATGCAATCAACAAAATTCATTAACAAATTTAGAAAATTTTACATTGTTACGTGTTCGTTTTTATTCATTAACAAATTTAGATACATTTGTTGGAGAAAAAATAAATATTCATTATCAAATTCAATCAATGAAATTCAATAATTTAAAAAATTGTCATAAATATATTTACTAAAAATTGAAAAAAACGTCAATTCCAGAAATCACGAAACTTTGCAATTTTTTGGGGAAGAAAACGTTGTAGAATTATAATACAAATACGAAAGTTTTTCAAAAGAATTTTTTTTTTGCATCTAACTAAAATTTCAACTTTTTTTAAAAAAAATAACCCAAACAATCAATATAAAAAAAATTGGTATGATTTGATTTAATTATTGTGAAGAGTTATTGTTGTGATTGATCTTTAATGGAAATATTTTAGAGAAGAAAATAGAAATCCTAAACTTGAAAGAGGCAGAAACAAAAGGAAGAAAGAGAGAAATTGAAAAAATACCATAATTCTTTTTGTTTATAAATTATAAGGAGAGAGAGAAAAGAAATAATAAAAGCAAACTTGCT